GGCACCGGGAGACGTAAATAGTGAATTTACGATGGAGGACTTTTTAGCCTTATAAATCTAAACAAAAGTTATAGTATACGTTAAACCGAGAACGTACAAAAAAAGAACACCCAAATTTGACTTCGTATGAGGAAGTTATGAATTTTCTAAGATTTGACATAACAATGCACGACCCGAAACTTGAATTTTAGATCGAGCGATTTTTGGCCTACGCGACCTAAATGAGAGTTGAAGATATCATTAATAGGAACTCAACGGTAAAAAGACAGACGAAAACGGAGTCCGTATGTAGAAGTTATGAATTTTACGCGGACATTTAACAGTATAATCTTCTCGTATTGTTAAATTTAAGATCAGTCGAGAATTAGCCGATAGAGTCAAAATGAAAATTGTAGATCATACTTTTACCTACGCGTGGATATAAAGAACGTCGAAAACGGAGCTCGCATGTGAAAGTTACGAGGTTTATAAGTCGGCAGGGTGCTGCTGCAAAAGGAGTGACGTGGCACAATCTTGGCAATTGCTTTCTCCCCAAGGCTTGCCACTAGATGGTGACATGTGGCACTAATTTTAGCCATATTTCACTCTATAAATACAACCCCTTCCACCATCATTTCTTCACACCTCCACCCTTCTCTCTCTACTCTCTCTCTCTCTCTAAACCTCCCAAAACTCCCCTAGTGCTAGAAGAAAGCCCCGGAGCGCTCGACGGATCCGAGAAGAAGAGCTTTCGGCTCGGAAGTTCTGCCCCTGCAGAGCGCGGCTTCTAGCCAAACCCCCTCGTAGGTAAGATACGCCTACCTAATTTTTAATATAGCTTTTATTTAAATATAGTAACGTTATTAGGACCTTATAATAATTATTTGAGCTATTATTATGGGTTGTATAAGTGTCGTTATAATATCTTTTTAACCACTCGTGGTACGGGGAATCCGGTTTGAAGGGCCGCCTGGGTTGTTGGATTTCAAAAGTGCTATATGCCAAAATGATCCTGCCCTCCGGTGTTTTATGTCTGGCCCCTGTCTGTACATAGTGGTTGGAAAATATTGTTTAAACGCTTATATAATAATAATAATAATAATAAGACTAATAATTAGTCACGGTAAATATTAGACTAAAATCTAGTGGTAATAATACTAGGTTTCGTCGAAGGAAATTACTTTAAAGTAAACGAAGCGTTGTCCGAGTACCGAGTCACCACCTTACCAAGTGAGTGCATAGTCCCTTTCATCTTACACATAGATATGAAGTATTTATTATAAATTACGTGTTATGTGTGCATATTGTCTGTATACTTGCCGTTTGTGTTGGGTGAAAGATTTTTATACATGTTTTAAATGATTTAATATATGTATTTTATATCTACAAAATATATTGGGTAAAACATGGGTAGATTAAATAGTTGCTGTGTGACAAAAACAAAATGATGAGAGGTGATATAGACCATGAGATAAGGGTGAGAGGTAAACCATGAGAGAAGCCTTTTACCCATGTGTTGGCCCCGACATTCAGCAGAGTATGGATGACAACCACAGACTATTCTAGACAGTCCAGTGGACACTAGCAGGCTCGCAACCTGTAGGTGTTTTGAACTGTGTGCTCACCAGCTGTACTCTAAAAACCCCTTGACATGTGTTGTGAGAGGAGTATCGAAAACGACACTGTCGACAGACGAGATTAACCCTGGAAACTATGAAACGTAGTGCCTAAACCCCTTGACATGTGTTGTGAGAGGAGTCTCGGAATCGATACTGTCGATAAAAGAGAATAAACCTGGCGACTATGAGACTTAGTGCCTATTGAGTAAACCATGACATCGATGGACGTAGTGCCGATTCCTTAGGATAATCCTTAGGAATGAATGAACGATGAATAGCTAATTCTTAGGGTAGATCCTTAAGAGTAAATAAGATAATGGGGATGGGTAATTGAGTTGATTGATTGTTTGATGATTAAACATAATGATTATATTATTGTGGGTTGAAAACCCTATGTACTCACCAGGTTTCCCAACCTGACCCACTCAAGCTTATTTGTATCACAGGTGTCGATATGAAGCTACTTTACACTGAGAGATTTAAAAGAGATGTAGATCACTAGTGTAAATGAATGTAAGTTGTGTTTATGCTTATGTTTCTGTATTGACGATGACATCTCAAGGTTTTGAAAATGAATAAAAATACATTTATTCGAAAATGCTTTGATAATGTATTTATCATGTTTTTCTGGGAACAAATTCCGCAACATTTTTATTAAAAGAGGTACTCTGATTTTTATAAAGCATAAAAAAAATCGGTCTTTTCTTGCCGTGAAAATGGGGATGTCACAACTCAGTTGACCTTTTGATTTGAACAGTTTGACTTTGACTTTGACCAAGGGGTATTTTGGGTAATTTGAATGGTGTTTGAGAAATTTTCATTTGGGTGAATATGTGATGGTTAGAGCTGAGATTCGGAGTCGAGACCTCATCGGTTATTGTTCAGACTGTGAGGTCAGTTTTTCCTCGTTGTACTTACGGGTCGAAGGCAGCAAGGCCGACCCATTAGATTGGGATCCTTCTATACATTGATATGTTGAGTATGGAATAGATCTGCATGATTATATGCTAGTTGCTGATATGCTTAAACTGGTAGATCTGTAGGACTACTTGTGATTCCTGTCTGCATGATTGTCTATCTGTTGCTTATGTGTGTTATCTATAGCATGTCAACATATTGTGTTGTGGTGAGGTTGTACTGCTTTATGTTGTAGCCAACAAACCTGGGAGCATTCCATATATGAGCTTAGGGCCGGTTGGCATGCCAGACTCACACTGAGGGCTCGTGGGCATTCCAGATACGAGCTGAGGACCGGTTGGGCATGCCAGACTCGTACTGAGGGCTTGAGGGTATTCCATTCTGATGACTGAGTGAACCCATTGTATATTGGCATTCCAACCTGGGGTATTCCATCCCGAGGATGAGTGGACCCGAAGGTTGACTGGGCCTGGGGTATTCCAACCCGATGGTTGATTGGACCCGACATGTTGTTGTATATGTTATGTGTTTGTGTGTTGGTACTTTGGGGGAACTCACTAAGCTTTGGCTTACAGTTTTTAGTTGTTGTTTCAGGTACTTCTGATGATCGCGGGAAGGCGAAGGCCTAACCATACACATCCTATATATATGGCTTTATGATTTTGGGATACTTTGATTTGGATAAACAATTTGGAAACAATGATTTTGTAAACATTTTATGACTATAGGTTGTTTTTAAAAGTTTAAATTTGTTGTGATTTTTGGGATGTTACACTTTCACTATCAAATATCAAATAAATTGTGCATTAACAAATTCTCACCATAGTATTCCATGTATAGAACCCCTAATTTCAACCATAATAGGTAGATCTTTATCTGGGAAACTCAACTATAACAGCCCAAAAATCAGGATAAAACTTTTCATTTTTAAATAAGAAATACAATCATTATATAGTTCCAAAACCCATTACATAACAACAATGTCAAATCATCAGAGTAATAATATTAATAAGTGCGGAAAATGGTGAGGGGAAAATGTTGTGCCATCACGTCAGGCCCTTCCCCTTAGTACCGGAAGTACTTGAAAACATAAATACAATCTGTAAGCAAAAGCTTAGTGAATTTCCCCAAAGTACCACATACCAAACATAAATAAGATAGTGCTATGGGCCAAACCGTAGTCTTACAAGAAATTTCCTGCCGAGGGCCATATCCCGGTCTTACAAACTGTTGCCAGGGGCCAGATCCTGGTCTTTCATACAGTTGTCAGGGGCCAAATCCTGGTCTTCCATACATATATCTCAAATATAGCTAACAACCTATATCACAGTGCCTTCAACCCATTAGTGAGGAAACTCACCTCACAAGCAGACATAAAGCTGAACTGACTCACTGCTCCGAAACTCACACTACCAATCACCTTTACAATAAAAAACCACCAAAACTCAGACTACCATTCAAAATACCTAAAATGCCCGATCAAACCCTAGTCAAAACCATGTCAAAGTCAACCAGGTTGACTCAGTTAGTACGCGGGGTGTATCCTCGTGTACGTGGGGCGTACCTTGCAGTTGACCGAAGGACGGGGCGCTGACCTCGTATGCTCAGCGTACCCTTCGGTACGCCCTGCGTACGAGGCTGCTTGCCAACTTCTTAACCAAGTGCTTGATCCCTTAAGCAACCACGTCCAAACTTCAGATCTAGGTCACATAAGATGTCTTAAGCCATAAAGTTTCCAAATTTATGGCCTAGCATGGCTATAAAGTCCTTAAAACCAAAAACCCTTATCCTCTTAACCCATTAAGACCACCTAACACTTGAATGGGGGAAAACTAGTGACCAAGAACCTAACTTTATGACTTAGTAATCCTAAAAACCTCTGAAAGTACAACTCAAATACCTTGGAGTACCTTCTACTCACAAAGGCTAAGTTTGGGACCGAAAAGGAAACAACTTGAGCAAAACTAGATCCAAGAGATTCAATCATCAAGTTTGAAACCTTTTACCTCCACAAGGTAGACAAGGGGGACTAAATGTTGGATCCAAAGCCTTGAGTGCAACACCACCACTTCAATGTTCTTCCTTCTACACCAAGAGCTCCAAAAATGCACCAAAATGGCCCCAACAAGCTTCACAAGCACAAACACACTTAGGGTTTTCGAGATAAGGAGAGAGGCTGAAGGTAAAAAGGTGCTTGAGGCCATAAGTGAACTTAAATAGGGTCCAAACCCTAAAACTTAGGGTTTGCACTCTGACTACGTACGCCATGCGTACCTACGAACGCCCAACGTTCTCATGAGCTCCGGAGTATGCCTTGCGTATGAGGGTGTACGCGCCCCGAGTACTCCAAAGGTCTTCAAAAATTACAGAATTGCCATCAGGGACTAAACTTGCAAAATAAACATAACTCAAGGGTTAAAACGGATACTTGAAATCTAGGTGTTACATCAACCCTCAACATCTTATGAAAATAAAGATGAAAAATTAGAAGATATAAGTGTTTGCCACACCAAAGAGAAGATTGATTGGTAGGTGGAAGAGGGAGTAGCTTTGTAAGGCACTACCGAGTAGGGTTGCCGAGCAACACCTCTCGAGTTCGCGGCGTGGTGTGCCGGCCCAACCGAGCTCCATCTGAGCCTTCTCCACCTCTATCTCATTTTGCCGAACAGGATGCCAAACAAAAGGAATTAGAGCATGCATAGAGCTCGGCATGTCGAGCTGAGGGCATGGTGTATGCCGACTCAGCTCTGCCGAAACAATACCAATATCGAGCCCCACTTCTCATAGCCTAATATACTACAACAGTTTGATAATTCAAAAGTGACATAGTAATTATATGACATTTAGTCACGTATATACATACTGATTGTAACAACAGAAGTTTAGATCGTCTCCACGGCTATTATATTTTTCTTTTCTTTTTTAGAGTGAAAAACAATATTATAAGTGATTTATTTCCGATCTCATTTTATTTTTATTTTACTTTTTATGCAAATATAACCAAACAAATAAAATAAACAAACAATTCTATGAAAACAATTCAAACTAATTTTACCACCTTTGTTGGGGGGACGTGTTTCCGGATGAAGGTTTAATCACCTACAAGCTATTAAAATTCTCTATAGGAGGGTACTCTTTGTTCCCGAATAGATCGATGCCTCGTTGCAATTAGAATAGTTGTATAACCTTATATTTAATGGGGCTCTCCATTATATCAAACAAAGATGTGAGAACTTGTTTGATTCATATGCTATGCGACAGATTTCTCGGCAAGAAAAGAAAATCCCTATAACATGTGAATGGTTCATTTGGGACAGTTGTTTATTGTCGTATACTTACGAGCAAATACATAAGTGTTTTAGAAAAACAGAAAAATACATAGCAAAAATTTAGGTATTTTAAAATTATGTTGTATTATTATTTATAATATATATTTTACTAGTTTATAACCCCTGAGAATCACGGTTGTGAAATTAATTACACTTTCATACTAAAATGTCAAATAATATCAAAGTAATAATAATAAGAAAACATGTTATGAGGAATAAAATTTTACAAACAACTTACAAATTTCTAAAAACTTCTTTATAAACAACATTAGAAGTTTTATTTGTAAGTCTACCATCTTTATCTAAAATTAACAATTTTAATCATTCTCTACTTTGAACTCTAGATAGGGCAACATACAATTGACCATGTGTAAAAACCGGATCTTTCAAAAACAAACCAACCTTAGATAAGGACTGTCCTTGGCTCTTATTAATTATCATTGCAAAACGAACAACTAATGGAAATTGTCTTCTTTGGAATTTGAATGAGATTTTTTTTTCAGATGGTGTTAAGGTCATTCTTGGAATAAAGGTCCGATTTCCAATATTACTTTCAGTTATGATAACTGCCTCAATAACACGTTTGCCCAAAGATATCACCTGTAGTCTAGTGCCATTACATAAGCCATTTTTTTTATCAATGTTTCTCAGTAACATAACTGGAACCCTGACTTTCAAAACTAACTTATGATTAGGCAGACCTGAGACTTTAAGATCATTTAAAACATCAGGTAAGTATAAATTGGCATCAAAGTGATCATGGACAAACTCAGATTCACATAGTTTATCTGAACTTAGATATTCAACTTCATCTCCTGGAAATAATGCTAGCAAACGATCATTTATTTTTCCGACAACTTCATTTTTTGGAGCAAGTATTGCTCTTTCTTGAAAATATTCTGGATTGCTAGAAGCTTCGAGAATTGAAGGATATACAAACTTGATTAACGAACCTATAGGATCATAAGGATCATTAATTAGAAGATCATCCGAAATATCAATAATCGCTTCGCCATCATTAAAACCACCAAGTTTCCCTTCTCCTATATTCCAAAAGCCATTTTGCAAAATCCATTGTCTGTTGAAAAGCAGATGTATCACTTCCAACGGTTAGCCTCATATTCTTGGTTAGTTGATAGACTTTGCATTGTTGCCATAAATATGATGAACTTAATGAAGCATTAACAATGTCTTGTCTACTACCACTTGGGATAACAGGCAAAATTTGTCTAAAATCTCCTCCAAAAACAATTACTTTCCCTCCAAATGGCAAAGTTGAGTTTCTAGGATTATGACACTTGAATATATCTTTCAAAGTTCGATCTAAAGCTTCAAATGCATGCTTGTGAATCATGGGTGCTTCATCCCAAATGATTAATGAGGTTTTTCGTAATAAACTGGCAAGTTCACTATCTGGTGATATTGAACAAATAGAAACCTCAGTAAGAACCAAAGGAATTATAAAACCGTGAATGTGCTGTCCTGCCACCGGTTAATAATAAAGAAGCGATCCCACTTGAAGCAACATTTAAAACAATTTGAGCATTACATCTAACTGCGGTCGATAATGTCTTCCAAAGATAGGTTTTACCCGTTCCACCATAACCGTAGACAAAGAAAACACCTCCTTCATTATTGTTTATTGCAGTCATGATATCATCAAAAATGTTTTGTTGCTCAGATGTTAATGCAATAGAAAGCTGATCAAACTCATTCTTTAAATTTGGTATGTTATAATCTAGCTCCTCACTAATAAGACGATTGTTTGAAGAGGATACAGAATCAGCATCGGGCAAAGGCATCCTTGTAAATTTTTTGAGACTTGAATTGTTACGAAGTAAAATTTGTTCAATCTCAAACAAAGCCAGGTTCTTAATTTGATCTTCATTAAGTGATAAATCTGAAAGAAAATTGGTATAATAATAACCAAAAAATATATAAACAAATTTGTTCTTGAAATAAATTAATATTGTATATTGATTTATAAATGTATTTTAATAAATAAGTAAAGAATATTATAGTACCTGGAGATTTTAATCTTTGTTGTTGATTGTAAAGAATTCCATCCGACAAGTATACCCATGTATTTTCCCACACAACATCCGGGCTAGACAAGTTGTGAGATAATAACATGGTAGCGAATAAGAAACGTAAGTAATAACCGGATCCAGACTGACTTGCCTCCTTAATAGCTTCGATGTATTCTTTATCATCATCTAAGAGGCCGAGAGCATAACATGCATCTCTAAATGAAGGACATATTTCACCATTAACCATGCGGATTTCTTCAAATGACGTTGGTCCTTTCACTTTGTTTAAAAGAATTCTTAAGAAATATGCTTCGCCAAGATTAGGTGACACTGAATGAATTCTGCCAATCGAATATCCAACCTCCCTTGGCTTCCAAGTTTTTGAACCAAGCTTCCAAACAAACTTTGTTGGAAATTCAACATAAGTTAGTTTTTTTTTGCTTGTTTGTAAACTTTGTTGCACTCCATCCAAGATGTGAACATCGAAGAAGCAACTGAAGTCTGGTTAAGAACATTATCGATATCATCATCTGCACCGTAGACAACTTGTTGTTGATTAGGTAGATGAAAAGGGAGTCTCATCACTGAAGGATGCCTGTAATGAACATCGTATCCATAAATTCGCCAAGATGCTTCACATGCAGAAAGATATCTACAATCATAGTATTATTTTATCTCATCGACTGTATCATCTTTATCAGAACCATTGTTGTTTTGTACAAAAGTAACAGTAGCTCTATCCGGACCTTTATTAATATATTTGAATAAATACTTGATAGAAGATCCCTGATTGCACCATTCAACATTTATGTGTGCTTGGTATCTTTTCAACAGATATTTGTTGTATGGAACAACATTTCGGTTATCTAACTGGACACCAGATTTTTCTACAAACGATCCATCGTTTTTTCTCCTATATATAGGAAAATCATTCTCGTCAATTGAAGTATGTTCAGAGAAATTCTTTGGGAAGTTTTTAGAGCATTTGTTATCCACCTTGCAAGGGCAATTGACATTTTGAGCACCACATGGACCATGAATCGTGAACTCCTTCACAAGTGAATACAAAGCAGGATCTTGTTGAATACTGGTAATCTCAGCTGAAATAAATTGATGAATGTGTTCCACGGTAGGAAGCTTGTAATCAGGTTGCATGAATAGACAAATATGGCTGTGAGGCAAACCGCGCTTTTGAAACTCAATTGTATACACAACTACATATATCGAAATAAACAAATTTGTAAAAAAAAATTAAATAATGTATGTACTATAACTATATTTTAAATAAAAAACGACATTAAAATATAATATGGATAGTATGAATAAATAGTTTTAAATACCTACTTGAACCATGCCAAATACTGAATTCTCGCGTAGGTCTTTAATCAACGCATCAAGTTTGATCTTAAATAACCTACATAGGATATCAGGTCTGGATTAAGCGTAGTGTCCTTAAAAAATCTTCGAACTTCGGGCCATTTTGGATTGCACGTAAAGGTTATGAAAAAATCAGGATACCCAAACCACTTACAAAGAGACATGGCGTCTAAGTAGTTTTGCATCATGTAAAGTGCACCACCAGTAAAAGAAGAAGGTAATATAACACGTTGGCCAATTTCCGAAATGTTCTTATTCCCCTGATGTTGAAAGTTACTTAAATTCTCATAAGATTCACATCGAAGAACTTTCTGTTTCTTTCGTACGTAATATAACCTCTCGCTTTCAATCATTGTATAACCATCTACCAAAAACTGTTGAAAAAGCCTTCTTGAATTCAAAATTAATGAGAAAGAATTATCCCTGTCTTGAATTCTGTAAGCGAAAAATTCCCTCATTGTAGTGTTTGGACGCTTGCTATTGCTCGAAGACGTAACACCTCTATGAGGGATGTCAACTCTATAACCATCGTCACCATATGGAAATAATAGAGGATACTGTAGAGCAAGGTAAGAAGGATGTAATTCACTGATACGACGTAAAGCTCCAGACGAAGTTTGAACAACGATGTCTCTGTTTTCAATAAAATCACCAATGTCTCCTACAATTAAAGCAACGACCTCAGAAGCAGTTGGTAGGTTGTATGTCCTTCCATCATGCTGTCTTTTTCCAATAATTCGTAACTTTAGATCAGCATGAGGATTTGAATTAAAAACGTCTCTAACCATCCTATAACACTTGACCAACTCGTTATTTGAATCCAACATAAGCTTCAAATCTTCTATAATTTGAATATTAGTTGAATCATCAGTTGATGTAGAAGGATGATTGCTTCCCCTGTAAATAAAAATATTTTAATATATACATCAGTAATATAAAATTAATATTGTTAAAGTGATAATAGAAAGTAATAGTAAAATTGAATATATACCATAAACATTTCTGTCTATTTGAGGTTTCATTTTCGGTATCATATATGTACAACTGAGAAAACCTTGGTTGACATCCATTTGAAGGGAGAAGGCTTCCGATGCTATGATAATTTTGACCGCTAAGCCTGAATATATATGATGCGTTTCCTCTATTAATGGATGAATCAACTTTCCCACCCATCGACGTAAATGAAAACACTGAATTGTAACGACGGATGTTTTTCATGAAGTATTTGCTTTTAGAATCTACTGCATGATAAAGTTGTTTGTAACTTTGCGGTGGTTCTTTTAAAGGAGGTAGTTCTACCTTCCCATAACCACAACAGAGAGAAAAGATGTTATTCCCTGTTTTATTGCCTCTTGAAGCTTCGTTTTTCCATAATTTAGCATGACATAGTTCACAAACAACATTCTGATCACCATGATCTAAACAACCTGTTAAATAGAACATTATAAAAAAAATGTAAATATAAATAAAAATTATAATTAACAACTTAAAATATATAAAATGTTGTTTGTGATTATTACCTTTTGATATACCAATATGTGTTGGTTGGATAATATCTCAACCATTAATATCATCATCTGTCGTTAAGTGAAATATAGGTATAGGAGATATATGTGCAAACTTTCTTTTTGAGTTCTTGGAATTAGAAGATGTAGGATATCGTCGATTATTTAATAAGGGTGTTGGACCATTTTGTTGACTGTTACAAAAAGCTAAAAGAAAAATAAGTTGTTAATCATGTAGTTAATTTAATGATAAATAATTGAGAATGTATAATGTAGTTAATATGCATACCATTTGAAATATTGGAAAGTGGAGTCCTAGAATTTAGATTTGAAGGAGATTGCAAGTTTGTAGAATGACGTTGAGGAGTCTTGTCATAGCTGACATTTTCCTTTTGAGACGAAATATGTGTGAACTTTTTTGAAGAGTTTAAATGTTGACGACGATTGAAGACATCAACTACATATAATTACAAATTTGTTTACTAATAAAATTAACTAATAATAATGAAACTTAAACACAATTGGGTAATTTCAATAAACATATATTAGGATAATAAAAATAATTAAAGCACACAAAATAATTACCTTTCTGGCTCGTGTTAACAGATGGCGTTGCAGACGAAGTTTGACCGTTTGATAAGGTAGATTTATTTTTGAATTTTCTATTATCCAAATATAACTTCCTTAGTTTTCGTTGCTCTTTAGCTAAAACGGAATCAATTTTTCTCTTAGGAATCTATAACAAAAACAAAGTTTAATTAAAATTTTATTACATTTAGAAGTTAAAAAATAGAAACAAAGTTTAATTAAAATTTTATCTATAACCCTAAGTTAAAAAATAAGCCAACATGTTAAATATTGATTTATATGTTGATAAACATATATAAAAGACGATGCATAAAATAAAACATATTAAACAATAAAGACATATAACTTAAGTATCTAACTTATCTTTGTATTTATGATGATTGGGTTTTGATATACCTACATGCGTGGATTGAATAATATTGGAAGCATTAATATCATCATCTGTTGTTAGGTCGAATATACGTATAGGAGATACATTTGCAGACTTTTCTTTTAAGTTGTGTACTGCTGGAGAAAACTGTTTGGATGAATAACTGTGAGTGATTGTTGATGAATTGGTTGATTTGATGGCATTATAAAATGTATAATATGGTCTGTTACTTGATGAGAGTGTTCGACTTTTATGATGATTGGTAGAAAAAGCTGAAAAAAAAAGATAACTTGTTATTCATGTAGTTATTGCAATGTAACAGAATACTTTATGTATAACAACTACATATAATTTGAAATACATTTAATAACGGAAAAAAGATTAATATTAAAGTTAATTATAATTATTTAATACATAACATATTAATTCTACAAAAAAAATAAAAAGTTAACGTAGAAAATAATTACCGTTCTGGATAATGTTAAAAGGTTGTGAGGTAGATGAAGTACGATCGGCTGATATGTTAAATAATATTCTTAACCTTCTATTATCCAAATATAATTTCTTTAATTTTCGTCGTTCTTTAGTAGAAGTAAAATCCATATTATAGTCTATCATCTGTAAAAAGAAAATAAATATAATTATAATTTGTATTTAAAATACAAATTGTATGCGAAATAATTTGTTACAATTAATTTAAATGTTATAAAACAAATATAAAATATGATGAATAATTTAAAAATAAATCCATTTATAAATACATAAAAGTTAATTACGTTAGTTATACTTAGGTTAAAAAAAATTATTATGAAGACAAATATATTTTGTATTTTTATCCTAAAATTAGTTGTTGTTTTTATATATAATAAACTAATATTTTTATAACCTTTTTAGGTTATCTTACATATTCCACTTTTTATAAAATGAAAACAATTTTAAAACATCTCTTTCTTAACATGTATTAAGAAATTAAGAAATCAGTATAAAAATTAAACCTCATATATTTGCCGACAGAAAATTTGAAATGAATTACAATCTGCAGTCGTACATGTTAATAACTATTATGTAAGAGTCACATATTATTTGAAACGGTTTTATCTATCAATCACAACAATAATATATAACCAAATTTAATAAGTCATTATGCTACAAAATTTATATTGTGTTTTATTGTTCAATATATGAAAATTTAACAGTTTTATATGTAATTTTAAATTATAGATGACAAAAATGGTACGTCGGCGGTAAGAATTTGAGTTTTGTGGGTCATATGGAGGGTTTTTCCACGATATTAAAATATATTAATATCTTTTTTTTATTTACAAATATTGTCCCAATATTTTATTTATTTATTGGGTATAATGTTGGCCGGCGATAGATCAAAATATCAGTCAAAATTGCAAAGGAAAAGTCTTTACATTATCCATCCCTAAATCAAAATATCTCCGTCTAAACCCTAACTCTCGCATACCGTAACTCATCCACCTCCACCAAAATTCTTCAATCGATATATGCATCTGATCAACAGCTTTAATCATCGACCTAATCCCCAATAAATCACGAAGAAAACTACGAATAATCCATCAACTCCATTAAACTGACGTGCATGTTGATATCCATCATCGGATTCATCTTAACCGTCTGACGGTGATGATTTGGGGGAGAAAGTTCGAAATGAATTACAATTTGCAGACAGAAGGAGGATATTACTTTAACTTCCGATGGTCATCAAGACGGATGAAGAAGTTAGGGTTTATCTGTTGAAGACCCAGCTGCTGCTCTTACCAGTATGGGAGTGTATCAGTTCGAGGTAGGACACCGTTCAAATTTACATTTTCTGTCATTCTATTCTATAGTTATAAACAACAACAAAATATGAGTAATGGTGCAGTTTTCATTAATATGACAGAAAAATTAAACAAAAACTTACATGATTAAATTGCAGGGTGTTATACTCTTCTAGTTTATACCCAAACCAGGAACTTAGCAATGAAATAAAGACGCTCCTCACAGGATGGATTTTTCGTAAACTTGAAGGCAAATAGCGGATGGAAAAGTCAGACGTGATTAATTTTAAAGTAAAAAAGATAAGTAACTGATTTCTGTATATATGGTTAGCTAAATTGAAGCCTGAAAATGAGATTTGATTGAAACAAATTGATTTGAAACGAAGCTTCAAATAAAATAAAAAATCTAATAAGATAATTTATAAAAAACAACTGTATTAAAATCGATTTCTGTGTTAATATGGAAGATATTCAATTTTTCATTTAATTTAATATACATATTCCTAAAAGTATGTTGATTAGTATCAGGCAAGAAATCAACATTATTAGTTAACAAAATCAGCAAGAAATTAGGAAACCTTTTACCTTTTATTTGTCATTCGTTCCTTCTTCAATCTCTACTTTATCTTGTAACTGATTTCCTATAGCTTTTGTTAACCAAATCACTGATTTGTTTTTATACCACTAATGGATCAATGTTTCCTCTTTTATCAGTGGGAAGAAGAAATGGGAAGAAGAAACAGGCGAGAAAATGTATCTTGACAAATTCATGTTCACTTTAATTTTAATGTTAATGAGATATAATTTTAACGCTAATCATATAATATTTCTTGTTATTATATTTGTATTATCATTCAAAATAACAAAGGCATGAGTTTTAGGTTTATGAAAAAAATGTCAGTTATTAATTTTCATTAAAAAATTATTAATGACAGGGATTATGTTGAGATAGAAATGACATACGTTCGTAATGTTCATCAGTTTTGTCAGCAACCTAACATGATTTTCCATGGTTGAAGTTTTTGTGTTTTCAGCAATATATCATGTATGTTATAGGATAATTTGCTAATATGTTCTTGTAGAATAATAGTAAATGCAGAAGAACACATATTACTGAAATGATTGGCTACTTTACTTATTAAATATTAACATTGGTAAGCATAACAAAAAGATGAAGAATAACGGGCTTTAAGCATTAAAGTAAAAATATTATTATAAGTAGAATCTAAAATTCAATATCAGTAAATGTGGTAAGATGAATAAAAGGAAACTGAAAATTGAATTGAAATTTTGAAATGAATTAAATTTAAATTTAAAATTTTAAAAATTGAAATTAAATGTATAGAAAAAAGGTGACACATGGCATGTATAATTGATTAGGAGGTTTTAGAGGTTGCGTAGGAGATTCATCATACTTATTAATTAGAAAGGGAGATTTAATGCTTCAATTTTCGTCTGAATAAATTGTTGGGTATGTATAAAATTATAAATTGTCAAATCTTAAACTGAAATCTTCTTATATATAACATCTTCAAACAACACCAAAAAAAAACATCCAAACTCTTATCTTTTACTACAAAACATTTTATTACAACTAATTATTTGATTATAACTACCCACCTATCCGGCATCTAAACACCCCTAAACCATAGAAAGAAATCATAAATTGCAAAAACATAAACCATCCACAATATTACAAAACTAAAAATGTTGGATTTCACAGAAAAAAAAAAGATAAAACGCTTGCACGAAAAAAGGAAAAAAAAAAGTTTGGGGAAATTATGTACGAAGTCACTGACTTTTAAAAGAATTGACAACATAAAACCATCAAGTAGTTACACAGGACGACTAGGAGGCTCTGAATCCACAATGGCGTTTATCTTCTTCAAGAGTTCGGGTTTGTTGGCTCCCACAAGCTTATCGAATTGCTCTCCATTTCTAAGGAAGAAAAATGTTGGAGTAGCTTTTATGTCCCATTGTGTGCTAAAATCCTGCATCAACACACAAAAATCACAAATATTTTCAGATCATAATTATTTTTATACAAAATGAGACGTAATTATTTTTTTTTCAAGATTATTATCCAATTTTAAGATCGAAAAATGAATAAAATAGTGAAGGGGGGGTATAACTTACGGTTAATTCATCAACATCTACGGATAAAAACATAAGAGACGGGTGTTTCTCAGATAACTCAATGTAGTATGGTGCAATCATTCTACATGGCCCACACCAAGATGCACTAAAGTTGGCAATCACCTACAAGACAAAACAGAACAAGTTATACTGTGTCTCAGACAGACTGACATCAATGGGACAAAACCTGCAACTTTTTGTCTCACCCAAAAAGGTGGGACTAGGACTAATGTCAATGAGACAAAATGAAACTTTTTGTCTGATGTCAATGAGACAAGAATTGCAACTTTTTGGGACTGCGGTTGATGTCAATGGGGCAAAAAGTTTAAATTTTGGTCCTACACAAGAAAAGGTGGGACTGGGACTCGCTCTTGATCACTTATCTAAGAAAAAGACGTGAATGCCCTTCTAATCATTATCATTGAAAATAATCCTATAAAGCTTGTCCAGTCTAGTCGATGAAATGTAGTTGATAATGCCAATATATATATGAAGAAGAATCAATTACTATTTTGTGATCCTTCTTTGCTTCTGAGAGCTTTTGATCCCAAGCATCCTTGGAAGAGACAAGGGTCACGTTACCTCCAGCAAATTCGGCATTATGATCGGACTCATCTCCATCATTATGTGTCTGAAAATATAAATTGAATTAAAAGGGTTAAAATGTAATAAATAGCACATTCTCGGGTATTTTAGACATGCACTCATTTGCGTCTTTTATTCCTCAATTGCACATTCCATGTTTCTTTTTCTTTGTGTCATTTTATAACGATTTGTTCATTGCTTTTCTTTTTATTACAAACAAACCTTAAACATCACATTTAAACCAAATCATGTAGCAGGATTTAGGAAATTAGGCCTATAGTGGAGGGTAGTGTCAGTAATTTCAAATTGTTAGGGAATGCTACATATAAAGTGGGGGCACATGCAATTGAATGAATGAGTGAGTGAGCATCATCGACAGGTTGGCTATCATTCAAATATAGAGAATTATGTTGGTTGGTGGGATTATCATATTACACTTTATTCCTTTTCATTAGCAAACAGTCTGGATTTGGATTTCTATCTTTCAGATGTCACTTTATCTTTATTCATGAACATACCCCACATCTAACCTTTTCTATCACAACTCAAAGCAGCAGATTCAGGTTAACAATATATAACATACCATCTCATCTATTGTGATCCAGGGATATCATAGAGTTAGGGTAAAAGCAGGGCATCATAATTCATGACACATGAATATATCCTTTTTGTTGAAAAACACGTGAAGTGCTTTGATTCTTTATTAAGTTAGTTGGAAATGACCAAAGGAAACTCACCGAAGAGAAGCATATCCCCATACTGATGTTTAGAATTGTAGATATAGTCGATGTACTCTGAAAAAAAATCAAAATTTAGCTTGACAGGTAAATAATTCTTGCATAGAGCAGTAATAGTATATCAATATAAACAAAATTCATCGGAATAAAGTAACTCATAGGCAGGAAAACTGGAATTACATATACTGACAAAAATGGAGGATGGCAAGAGGGGGAATTCATTGAGATCGTAACTCTAAATTGAAAATCTCAAAGAGATAGAGCTTCAAAGAAAGGTGTAAATCAAAGACTAGATCCTAATGGAATACAGCTTCTCACCAACCAAAACCCTAGAATAGCATGAACTTGAACTGGTAGTAGCTAGTAAATCTGCATTTCCTAGTTAAAATTATGGCATAGAGTTTCCTAGCTAAGATAATAAAATGATACACAAGTTAAGAAAACGATTCGATTACAAAAAAAAGAAAACGTGAAGCCCAAATAGATGTAATCGGATGGATGGAAATAGATAACCTGAGAATTGAGGTTGTCCGGCGATGATCGGAGTAAGTTGATAAAACCCTAATCAGAATTCAGACGAAGCGCGTATTCTAATAGTAGCAACTTGTTTAAAATAGAGGAGACTAGAAATTTGGCAGGAGAAAGATGCTAATTTGCAATTCCCTTCCTCGGTTTACTCGTACCAACCGAAATTTATCCTTTAATACTATATTTCAGTATATTGTGGGGTAGGGTAGGGTAAATTACACAAATGGTCCATATATTTTATGCAAATTTGCAATTTTAGGTCAAATGAGCATGTCGTTATGTTTTCAGTCCTAGCGATTTTATTTTGTTACTTGGTCCTTATCACTAATATGTTAGAAATATAATGTTAAATATTTGTAAAATGAACAATTTACACCCATTTTTGTACTTCTCTTCTTTTATACATTATACAATTTAACTTAATTATCAACTTCTTTTAGATTTTGTTTATTTTTTGTCGGACTTTTATTATTTAATAAAGCCCCTCCTTTGTGTTACTATTCATCTCTCCCTTACACACGTTTCACTTATTATTTTTAGCAAGAAGCTCTTGCTAATGTTAACCCTTGTTATTGTCTCAGTGCTCCATGTTAATCAAGTACTCCTTGCTTAGGGTAGTTAATCGAGTCAATTCGATCGGGATTTTTGGTTAAACGAGTCGGGTTAGTCGGGGGGTTTTTTTTTTTTTTTTAAGAATTACCTGAAAACCAACCCTATTAAGGTTCGGATTCATCGGGTTTCAGATTAGTCGGGTTAATAAAATATAAGATGAATTTAAGTTTTCCCATTTTAGTACACAACCCTCATGCATGGAGACTTAAGGTATAAAGTAAAACTCAATTTATGGTGTTTTAAACCATATACACGTGCTATGAATTAGGCAAAAGCAATTTGATCATTTTTTTCTTTTGTTTGGCGATTCAACTTTGTGTACACCGAAAGTTTTTCACAATATATGGTCGTTTCTAATTATAATTTACTATTTAACATGGAACAAGAAATGAATAGGATTTTCTTATTAGATAAACAACATGTATGGTAAAGGGTGTTGTAACTTGTATAGGACTAACATAAACAATATGTAAATACTTGTTAGATTACAGGCTTAATCGGGTTAACCCGAACCCGATTAAATGTGATGATATAAACTGGAAACTCGACCCTATTTATGTTTTAGGTTATTTGGGCCGTCCTGATAAAACCCGATTTCAATTGTAGAATCTATTAAACCCGACCTTATTTGTTTTATTCGGGTTCGGATTTAGTCAGAGTAATTGGGTTTAGGCTTTTTGACACCCCCTACCATGCTTTACATATTTGTGTGAGTGAATAGCAAAACACAATCAAGTATAACTCCATCGTGTTTTGTGAGCCTTCTTGACCCAAACCATGATTCCAGGCAAACACATCAACACATATCAATAATTAAGAAAATTACACAAACATGGAACATCAAAAACTATTAAACATCATGACATTATTCAACGAAAAGAAAATAACAAAATCTTTCACTCAACCTCTATTCTTTGGCAACCATGGCATATTTGCCGTCATATATTGAAAAATAAAATCAATTGGTTGTATGGGAGGAAATGTTGGTTACCATGGTGTCGGTTGCAAGTGGGAGAAAAGACTTTTGTGAGACCATGTTTAACTCAAACAATGGACAACAAGGCGAAAAAAAAATTATACAGAAAAGAATGTCGGTGGCTTAAAATCGTTAAGATATGTAAGTGAGTCTAAATAATTGATTAAAAGAAATTGGTTTTATAGAACAACTATTACTTAAAGTTTTTTATCACATTCATTGACAGTGAAACAAAAATAATGTTAAACACCTCTAAATAGGTATGGCAAATAAAGGTCGAATCCACGAAGAATCTATTATTAACAAATAGTTTATCAAAGTGATTAAAAAAACTAAATTTTGATGAAAACAATATTAATATGAACATAATGACAAAAAACCAATAAAAATTTTCTTCATTCACAATCACACCACTTCTTCGATATATCATAATTAAAGGAGTTAAAATAAAATTACAATGTCATTGGCTATACATGTTACTTTTTGTGTTTCTTTTTTCTTAAAAGGAAATAATAATATATTTTTTTTTTGGAGTGAAAGAATATCTTTAAAGAGGGTAAGATACGGTGGGCCATATCCACGGCCACGTGTCGGACAAACCACACATCTTCTGATTTTCTGAACCAAACGTGGTTGGGTGCTCAATCGTTCAATTTCTCTGCGTCTCTTTCAGCAATCGCTGTTCGTTGCATCGCCTCGTCGCATTCTCTCATTAGGATTTTATATAGATTTTAAGTTCTATTTTCGGAATTTTCAGCCACACTCACTTGCTCCTTCGATTCACTGCCGTTGTTTTATTCGCAATCGTCTAAATCATCTCTTTCCGGCCACCGGCAACACCGTTCAAGGTTTTTCATCATCAATTCAATTTACCAATCCACTTTATAAAGGTAATCCCAATTTAACGTTTTCAATTCCGCTTTACATTGATTTGAATCCTTATTTATCTCATTCTCATAATGTTCATAGGAGTATATACTTATCGCTTGTATTTTCAGTTGTGGTGGAGAAATAATTGATTTGTTGGATATATCATTTTGGCTTTATTGAAGTTAGGGTTTAATTGAGGTTCCCAATTGTATATGCTGTAATATGATACTTTCTTTAGCCACAAACTACAAACTGTAACTTACGTATTGATACCTTTTTTTTCAGGTTCAAATTGCTTTTCCATCACTTTTCAACCTTTGGTTTAAAATATGGCTTCTGTAGCTCAGGTCCATTCTCCTCATATCACTGAAAACTACCATCGTCTTCATCACATTTCTACCTTCCAATTACCAGATAGAAAACTCCTTTTCAAATCCTCCCTAAACTTTACGTTTCCCTCCCTAAAATCAAAGCCCTTTAGCCCCAACTTACTACCTGAATTCCAACCACTTCTCTGTGGTGCTGGTGGCGGCAACCATGGCAGCGATGGGGGAGGAAATGATGGCAGTCATGGTGGAGGTGGAGGTGGAGATGGAAAATCCGATGATTCACCTCAATCTGATAGTTTTGGACCAATTGGGGCTTTTCTTAGCGGATGGAGATCAAGAGTTGCTGCTGATCCCCAGTTTCCATTCAAGATCTTAATGGAAGAACTGGTGGGCGTGAGTGCAGCTGTTCTTGGTGACATGGCAACCCGTCCAAATTTTGGGCTCAATGAACTCGATTTTGTGTTTTCCACACTTGTAGTAGGTTCAATTCTTAATTTCACCCTTATGTATCTATTAGCACCCACTATGTCTTCTTCATCAATTTCCCTTCCTTTCATATTCGCCAATTCCCCTACAAGCCACATGTTTGAGCCTGGTTCATATACTCTCATGAACCGTTTAGGAACCCTAGTTTACAAAGGAACTCTATTTGCAGCCGTTGGATTAGCTGCAGGGTTAGCAGGAACTGCTCTATCCAATGGCTTGATCAAGATGAGGAAGAAGATGGATCCAAACTTTGAATCACCAAACAAACCTCCACCCATGTTTTTAAATTCCATAACTTGGGCAATGCATATGGGTGTAAGCAGTAATCTGAGGTACCAAACTTTGAATGGGATTGAGTTCTTGTTGCAAAAAGGGCTCCCAACTGTTTTCTTCAAGACCTCTGTGGTTGGATTGAGATTGGTGAACAATGTTCTTGGAGGGATGACATTTGTGATGTTGGCAAGGGCAACAGGGTCACAGAGCTCTGGTACTGAAAAGAAGATAAGTAGCAATCTTGATGAAGAGGTTCCACATTCAGATTAAGTGAAATTGGTTTGTGAGGATTCAGTTGTTTTAGCAATGAAGTTTCTTCAAAAGACTACTATCTGGTATGTATCTTTTTCTTATCTATGTTTAAAAATGATACAAAATTAGGGTTTTAATGAAAGCTGAATGATGTTTGAAATCAATCAGCTTACTTTTTGATGGTTTGTTAATGTTGGGTTAATTACTTAATTATCATGTAGGAATAAATTTGTAGCTGATAAGAAGATAAGTGTAAGAGTTGAAGAAGGAAGAGATAGGAAGGACTAGTTGTGTCATTTTGCTGAACTATGAGGGTAGCAGAGTTAAAAGGAAACTGGAGGACTGTAGCTGAAATATCAGAAGTTATCTAATGAAGTAGAGAGAAAAAAAAGAGCGATTTAGGGTTTTGTATGTATCTTCAAATGTTCTTTAGAATTTTATCAGTGGATTGTTCTTTTGCATATGAGGTTATATTTACCATTTCAAAACATTGCAAAAAGAACTTTTTGGTACCGATATTTAAAAAAATCAGTTACACTTGGGGACCATTATTGAAAAAATCAATTAGATGGAGGGTAACAAATTGCAAGGAAAAAAATATTTGAGACCAAAACCGCTAAATGGCAAACTAAAGATCTTTGTGACATATAATAGCATCGTACTTGTATTTTGTTTCCAAAGTACGATGCTAAAATAAGAAAAGAAAAAATAGTATAAAATAAAACTTAAAACATTTAATAATTAGAAATGAAAGTTAAATGTTATAATATAGCATCCAACTTTCATTTATAAAACTTAATTTCTTCATTTGTTTCTATTTCTGCTTCAAACTCTTCGTTCTCCATTCTCATTTATTCTCAATCTTTCCATCTTTTTGCCAGTATCATTCTCATCTATACTCCATAGTCTTTATTTTGTTCTTCATTTCTTTCTATTTTTGCAGCACTCTTTATGCTCCTCTTCCAAAAATACCCTTGCTTGTGTTGAGAGTTGACAACTGGCAAGTATAAAACATGGTCGTTTTGGTTTTCTTTAATTTCGGGTAGTAGAGATAAGACCATCTTATCATCATTCCCATCATCCATTATTGATCTTTTCCTTATTTGTTCCAATTTGGATTCGATTGTTAGTTATAAAAACTGATCAAGAAGAACAAAACATGATTTTGAGGGATTAATTCATGGGATTTAAGACTTTGAATGATAGGGAAAAAAAATGAAATAGAGGTGACAATGAGAATATTGTTGGTATACAACTACGAAAGCTTTGCCTTTAATCTTTCAAGATTACATGCTTCATTCTCTCACAACACCACCTAAGAGTTTAAGATTGATATTAGGGGAGTTTAAGATTGATATTAGGGGAAAGCATGGCAAATGACAAACAAACTCCATGAGAAGTCACACAAATCAAAACCAATTTGTGTTTTATATACAAAAATATATTATACTAAAGTGTATTTTTAATACTAGTTTTAATACTTATAAAAATGGACTTAATCACAACTAGGAACTAGTACACAACTAGGCAGGTGTATCTATTCGTTTGACAGTATAGTGATGGAAAGAACGTGTTGTCAAACACTTGGGGAACATGTATGATTCAAATAAAATATTTACTACTAATTATACTAAGAGATAATATGTAACACCCGGTTCCCATGTAAATTCTTTAAAGTTTATATATCTAGATTTTTGCATGGATGGCCGTTACGCGGGGCGTAACTCATTAACTTGGAAGCGGGGTTTCCCTTGAGTACGTATGGCATACCTAGAGTACGCAGAGCGTACTCATAGTGAATGCAAACCCTAATTTTAGGGTCTTGGACCCTATTTAAGGACCTTAAACCCTTGGAAACCCTTCTTATCAATCAATCACTACCCTCTCTTTCAGCCCCCACAAAACCGTAGCTCCATTTGTGAGAATCTCAAGTTTTTGTGTGATTTTTGGTGTGTTATAGTGAAGAAGGAGAACTTGGAAGGTGTGCTTCGAGTCCATAGCTTGTAGATTCAGACTCTACTTATCTTCATCATCTTCCAGAAGGTATAAAGTCTCAACCTTTATGATTCTCTTGCATAGATCTAGAATAGTTTAGGGTTTTGGCATGTTTTTGTCCTAAAGGTTGGCTCTTGTGAGTAGGAGCTACTCCAGAGCTTAGGTTGGCATTTCTTGATGTTTCAGAGGTCCTTATTGCATAAAAATCAAACCTTTTGGGAATAGTTCAACCATGCATGAGTTGTTGACCATTTTATGGAGTTAAGAAGTTATGGTTTGGTTTTGGGCTCTATTAAGCCATGCAAAAGCTTAAAGTTGTCAACTTTATCAGTTAAGACCTTCCCAAGGGCTAGATCTATGAATTTGACGCTTAGACTATACATATTAAGTGCTTAATATGGATTTTGGACTTCAGGGTAGTACGTTGGGCGTAACCCTAGAGTACGCATGACGTAACGCGCTTTGCCCCGTTTCCCTTTCTGTTGAAGCCCAGTACGCACAGGGCGTAATTATCGAGTACGCATGACGTACTACCAGAAGCCCATTTGGTCCATTTTTGGGACATGGGTCATTATGGGTTTTGGGCCAAGATTAGTTGAGTCAAATATGGGAAGGGTAAAATGGTCTTTTATGCTTAATAAGACAGAATATGATTTGGATAACTGATTAGAGGTTATTACCCTTATTATAAATTAAGGTTAATTTTTGATATGTTCAGTGTGAGGAGCCATGGTAGCAGCAGCCCGAGAGTGTGATTTGTTTATCATCAGATTGAGATGAGTCTCCTCACAGTACTTATGGGTCGAAGGCACCAATGCCGACCCACTGGATTATGTTGTAGGATAATAGTTGTCTTCATGACACTTACATATATGCATGTATGTGCTTGTTGTCTTTGTGACTCTTGCTAGTATGACTGTATGCTTAGATGTAGGGGTGAAATAGACCCGTACTAGTTGAAAGATACTGAAGGAGTCGGAAGGGACTCAGAGAGTTAGAAGGGACTCATGGAGTTGGAAGGGACTCAGGGGTGAAATAGACCCGTTACAGCTTTAGGTTGATATGTATGTATGATGTGTATGCATGGTATGTGGTATTTTGGGGAAATCACTAAGCTTTATGCTTACGATTTATGTTTAAATGTTTCAGTTACTTTCGGTTCAAAAGGGAAGGGATCAACATGATCACATTACATCCACCAGTATTTAGCTTTTTATAATTTGGGATTATACTCTGATAACTATTTTCCACATTGTTATACTTTTGATGGTTTGAGATGAATGAATGATGTTTTGGTTGACTTAAAAACAAAATATTTTACTTAGTAATTTTAGAATGTTACAAGTTGGTATAAGAGCCTTGGTTCGATGCATTCGGACACACTCTCAGGTGTGTCTGAACTCAAACTGAGGAATTGGTAAAAAGAAACAAATTTTTTTCAAAAAGGGTTTTTATAAAAATGGAGTGTGATGCATGCAATCGGCTGAGCTCAAGTAAGTATTCCTAGAATACCCATACATGTTTATTTAATTCAGTATGTGAATAGTGAGTAGCATGCAAGATTAGGGCTAAGGATCTACTCAAAATTGTATGTTAGGAGAGATGCCTTTGTATGCTTACTGTATGAGTCCCTAAAACTGCATGTTAGTATGTATTACAGATAATATGTTAGGATGTCCTGTTAGGCAGTGATTTGGTTAGGACTCGGTGCTCGAATGTTGCTTGCTTTGTGCTTTTAGGAACCACTATTAACACTAATTAACTATCAAGCGAATATGCTAGGTTACATGTAACATAAATTAGATAATTTTAGAAGGTTAGGTTTAACTCTATTGTGCAACTCTTGTTTGAGTCAAACTGTTGTAGTGTTCGACCTTGCAGTCAAAGAATTATCTAATGTTTGTTGCATGTACTTATATTCGTAAGGTAGCTAGCGGGTGTTAGTGGGAGTTTCTTCTGCAGCTGGTGGCGGGGAGTGGCGGGAAGGGGATCCTAGGAGAACCTAGGAAACATGCTAGCTTAGCAAATGCATTGTTTAGCGGAAATGTAGAATGTTTGGTAGCAAGAGAGTCACTTAGAGAATCGGGACAACTCTTGATGAAAGTACATATAAATGTGGAAGGTAGTATTGGGCCCGTACTACTAAAAGCACATGATCCGTACTCGAGGCAAGAGAAGTTACGAAGACACTAAGGAGTGTTTTCTGATGATTGTAATGTTTATTTTTAGTATGGTGGTCACTCGAGGTGGTTCAGGTCCTGGTGAGGGATCGAGTTCGGGTTCTGGAGTCGGACACATGGATGATCAGATACGAGAGTTTATTTCATATGAGATTACTTGTAGCATTTTGGAGCAGACTCCTGTGATCTTTGGTTCGATCAATGATGACATTATGGAGTTGATAGATGAGCGTCTGGGCGCATTCCGTACTGAGATGGTGGCCATGGTAGGTGCACGCTCTTTTACTTTTTGAGAGTTTCTTGCATGTAGGGCTCCAAAGTTCTTTGGGAAGAAGGACCCCATTGCTAGCAGACGGTGGTTGGTAAACATCGGGAACGCCTTCTGGTCCAGGCTCTGTCCTGATGAGGAGAAGTTCAGACTTGCATCCTGTCTTCTGAAAAACAGAGTCCATGACTGGTGGCAGGAGGTAGGCCATTTCTTAGGAGGCGAGGCTGTTGAGGCGATGACTTGGGATGATTTCGTTACGAGATTCAGGTCTGAGTTTGCACCGGTGATCGAGGTTCAGCAACTGGCGAGGGAGTTCCAGGACCTTCGCCAGACTACTAAGTCAGTGGCGAAGATTACCGCCATGTTCCAAGAGAGGGCTTTATTGGTTCCACAGTATGTGGAAGACGAGGAGATGAAGAAGGCCAGATACCATGATATGTTGAAGAATGAGATACGGGAGTTTGTGAGCATCTCTACCTGTAACATTGGAGGACATGATAGCTCGGGCTCGCGAGCGGGAGATTGATCTGGAGAAAGTGAGGGAGAGGAAGTCAATTCAAGCGAATGTATCAGAG